ATAGAATCAAATTCCGACCTCTTCTACTCCTTGAATCAATTTGTTTTCTTTCAAATGCAGAAATGAAGTATCCCTTGTTTGTATCATTCTGCGAAATTTTTAACAAATGGTAAACACCACAGCGTACACTATTGAGTTATGGATGCACGCGGGAGGTTGCTAAGCACGAAAGAAGCGTAAGAGTCGCTCGAGGCGATAGCCGAGAGCGACTCTAGCTTCTTGAGTGCTTAGCAAACCTCCCAAGTGCATCCATAACTCAATAGTTTACGCGGTGGTGTTTACCATTTGTTTTATAATATAACATTGATACATTGTAGCTAAAGAGTTCCCTTTTATTTAACAAATCTTACGTGACCAGAAAAAAACAAGCGCGCGCGGAAAACTAGTCTTTGCATATGCTCACGTCAACAGCGTACACCCATGGGCAAATGGGGACGCTCAATTGACCAATCAGAGCGCGCGCTTTACTTTGGTTATGTTATAATTTGGATTTGCTCTGGAATGTTACGTGAATTGTTACATGAATTAGTGTTTACGAAGAGCTGTGTTGGATTGGGCGTATTTTGAGAATCTTTTGCACTCTGAATCGATGTGTGGTTCAGTGTTAAAATCAGGGGTTGTAATTGACCGGCGAACTTGGTTCGGCGTTGAAGTCGCTAACACATTGTCAGCTTCTGTGCGGCTCTTCGGCGTTAACTCGTTGGCATCGCTACATGAAGTCCTCTTACGTGTACCTTGAAGAGCTTCATTCTCTGGTTTGCCACATAGAGCGCGTATTTCTGATTCTACTTTTGCTTGTTGATCTATGACTGATCTTCGTTTTATCAATAGTTGACGAAAAGACTTGCAAATAATCTTCCTCTGTCCGTAAGCAATCGAGAGGCTTTCAAACTCACATTTTACATCAAATTTAGCTTTACCGTCAATAAGATATCTTTCAGTGTGGTGTAAGTCCTTCCGAGAACACAAAACACAAATTATTTCCATATATAAGAGAACAATCATCGATAAAAAACTATTTCTACTTGAGTCCTAGCTAGATGAGAGGTGAGAAGCACATGAAACGACTCAAAACAAACATCATGACACTTGAGTAGACCTGGATTCGAGATATATGACCAATCCGATGGCTCGTAAGAATGGGCCAATCACAGCGCGTACTCAAATCGGCGTACATTCTCACACAAGAAATCGTGCACTGTTGCTCAGACGGAGTTTAGAATAAACGGCGGCTGAGCTCAGGCTAGTCTAATGGCTAAACTGGAAATTGCAGTATCCATTTATTTTATCCACCTGACCGTCAACAATTAACAAATAGGCGAAAACCCTCAAGACTTTTGTACGAACAGTCTTCGTCGTAGCCAACTTTTCCAACCAGATAATGGTAAATATCAGGAAACCTACCAGTGAAGTCATGGGTCCAATCCTTTGAGTGAGAGTGGCTGGGGAAGAAATTTTCCTCCCGACAATGTTATCTAGGTGGATCGTGGAGGAAAATGGCCGGCGAGTAATTGATTGGACACGGAATCGTAGAATCCTTTTAATAGACCCTTCCACGGTTTGTAGCGGCCATATTGTTTGAGGGTCAAACAAAACCTCGTTGCGTAGCAACGAGAAATATATTGCAGTAAATGGCTTGAACCCGGGGGTAACATGTGAAGGTGTAGTCTGATCGTCCGGGTGAGTGTAGTCCTGAGAAGGACTGTTGTCGGTGGTAGTGACTGACGTTTCGACAACCTGTGCGGAAGTCATCATCAGAGTCAAGTGAATGATTGTTGTCAGTAGAATGTTCTTATTCCAGTTCGTGTGAAATGATCGGTTGGTTTTGCCGTGATGTTATTGGCTGTAAGACTCAAGTGACGTAAGTCGGTCGTGATTGGTCTGTTTCGATCTGTCGGTAAAGTTAGGTCGTTCTTTTTCGGTCGTTTGTGATGTTTATGTCGTGAATGAGTCGTTTGTATGGAGCGGGTAGTTGTTGACATCTGTTTAGGGGAGTCTGTTCTAAGTTAGTAAACCAGCTTTCCAGAGTCAGTCGTTGAAAATAGTCAGTGCTGTAGGTTNCGAACTTGGTTCGGCGTTGAAGTCGCTAACACATTGTCAGCTTCTGTGCGGCTCTTCGGCGTTAACTCGTTGGCATCGCTACATGAAGTCCTCTTACGTGTACCTTGAAGAGCTTCATTCTCTGGTTTGCCACATAGAGCGCGTATTTCTGATTCTACTTTTGCTTGTTGATCTATGACTGATCTTCGTTTTATCAATAGTTGACGAAAAGACTTGCAAATAATCTTCCTCTGTCCGTAAGCAATCGAGAGGCTTTCAAACTCACATTTTACATCAAATTTAGCTTTACCGTCAATAAGATATCTTTCAGTGTGGTGTAAGTCCTTCCGAGAACACAAAACACAAATTATTTCCATATATAAGAGAACAATCATCGATAAAAAACTATTTCTACTTGAGTCCTAGCTAGATGAGAGGTGAGAAGCACATGAAACGACTCAAAACAAACATCATGACACTTGAGTAGACCTGGATTCGAGATATATGACCAATCCGATGGCTCGTAAGAATGGGCCAATCACAGCGCGTACTCAAATCGGCGTACATTCTCACACAAGAAATCGTGCACTGTTGCTCAGACGGAGTTTAGAATAAACGGCGGCTGAGCTCAGGCTAGTCTAATGGCTAAACTGGAAATTGCAGTATCCATTTATTTTATCCACCTGACCGTCAACAATTAACAAATAGGCGAAAACCCTCAAGACTTTTGTACGAACAGTCTTCGTCGTAGCCAACTTTTCCAACCAGATAATGGTAAATATCAGGAAACCTACCAGTGAAGTCATGGGTCCAATCCTTTGAGTGAGAGTGGCTGGGGAAGAAATTTTCCTCCCGACAATGTTATCTAGGTGGATCGTGGAGGAAAATGGCCGGCGAGTAATTGATTGGACACGGAATCGTAGAATCCTTTTAATAGACCCTTCCACGGTTTGTAGCGGCCATATTGTTTGAGGGTCAAACAAAACCTCGTTGCGTAGCAACGAGAAATATATTGCAGTAAATGGCTTGAACCCGGGGGTAACATGTGAAGGTGTAGTCTGATCGTCCGGGTGAGTGTAGTCCTGAGAAGGACTGTTGTCGGTGGTAGTGACTGCCGTTTCGACAACCTGTGCGGAAGTCATCATCAGAGTCCAGTGTCAGATTATAACACTTGACTCTGATGATGACTTCCGCATAGGTTGTCGAAACGTCAGTCACTACCACCGACAACAGTCCTTCTCAGGACTACACTCACCCGGACGATCAGACTACACCTTCACGAGCAATATATTCGTTTGTAATTATTCGACGCGCGTCGGTACCTTCGCTGAATATCGTGACTTTATAAAGGGAAAATCGCTTATTTTCGTCTCCAAATCTAGTGCAAACAAAGATAAGGCGT